ATTCTAATGTGTGTAAATGTGTAATGTGTTATTTATACTTTCCATATACGCTAATGCATGCACACATCTAATTAAATTTATTAGACTTTGTGTCTAGACTAAACTTTTGGGTTGCAGGCCTGGTACCGGCCCGGTTTGTACTGGGCCTGGTCCCGGTCAGGCACAATTTTTTTATTTATTTAAAATTTGTCTTTCGAATTTATTCATACCCCCACCTCAGACCCCCAAAACCACCCAGCCCCTCCCACCTAGTAGCCAATCAATGGGAAAAAAATTATAAAAAAAATAATTGGGCCTGGACTGGGCCCGACTGGGCTTGGCCGGTCCATAACTTCAGCAGCCCGTAGCCTGCCCCATTTACACAATTACACCTGTTCAGTCCCCCGGTACCGGCCGGGCTGGGCCGGGTCTTGGGTCGGGCGACCCATCCCTGTCCATCCCTAGTAGACGGTAGTAATGTGTTCGATTTTGTTTAACTTGTCGATTTTCGCTCATGCAACACTCTACAAGGACTCATCAAAATATGAGAAATTTTAAGTTCATTTATTCTAAAAGAAAAATGACAATGATTTTGTATATAAGCATTGGACATTCTTTATTTGGAAAGTAAAGTTGCAAATAACTCGAAAAGAGATGTGATTTTCAATGAATAAAACATTGAAAAAATGTGGATACACTATAAAAAAAGTCCTTAGTATTTTTTTATACCTTAGACAAGGAAAACACCATTCCAAAAAGAAAAATTTGTTAGGTACGGGTACACCATATATAACTCTCCTTTTTCATTTCCTCTTCCCACTTTTTTCTCTTCCCTCTCTCTTCACTCTCTTCTCACCTCTTCTCTCCATTTTACACCAATACGAATCCCCCCCCCCTTTTTTTTACTTCTTTCTTCTTTCTTTCTTTCTTCCTTTCTCCTTCGTCATCATCTTCTTGTTCTTTTTCTTTCCTTCTTCCCTTTTCTTTCTTTTAACGTTTTATTAGCTAATTTTAGAAACAATTCCTTTGAATTAGGGGTGGACTCGGGTCGAGCCGCCCGATACTGTTTGGGCCGGGCCGGCCCGGTACCCGGTCTTGGGTTTGGTTCGGGCCACCTGGAACCGCTCATATCCCGGTTTGGGCTCGGGCCCCCTAAAACGCGAACCGGCCCGACCGGTCTGTTCCCGGTTCAGGCCTAATTTTTTTTTTTTTTTTTTGTTTCTACCAGGTTGGGCTGGGTGTTTTGGGGGAGTTTGAGGGGTGGGGGAGTGAAGGGGTGGGGGTTATATATATAAACAGCGCAGTTTCCGTAGGGAATTTTTTTTACTGCTTTCCCGATTGAAATTTTAGCTGAAATTTGGTATGGATAAACTAGACTTGATAAGGAACATGCTCAAAAAAATTTATCGAAAAATTCCACCGCAAAGGTCCCCAAAATCTCTCGGCCGGACGGCGAATCCTGTCAGGCCGGCCTATAATATCTTAATCCACCGGGAAAGTCCAAAACCACAAATAACATCTAGCTCGGAGAAAACAGACAAGCTATAAGGACAAAAAATCTTAGCTCGACTATACGTCCTTGGATCGGATTTAGAATTAGTCACCTCAAAAGAAGCCACCTGATTCGTTAATCCCCACTTGGACAATTGTAAGCCAATTATGATCAATCCAAAATCCTTGTCACTTAATCTCTCCTGACTTTGACTCGAAACAACAACTAAAAGGAAAGACAAATCACCCTGGGCAAAACATATCCAACAGTGGTTTCACCTACCGTCCCTACTAGCGCAATAAACTAAAATAACAACAAAAACGTTTTAAAAAAACATTATTAAACAAGCAGCAACTAGGCAAGCCCAGAAACCTAGGCTCGCCTCCTCCAAGTTTTTTTCTCCATCAAGCACCATTGCACCCGCTTCCTGTTCTTCCATCTCATGAAATTCCAACACTCGTCTCCTCTTCGGCTCCCCAACCCGATTAGCAATACCCACCTCTGGACTCTTAAAAGCTTCTCCTTGCACCAAAGTCATCGATAAGTCTTCCTCGTGAGAACTTCCCATCATGTCTTCCAGTGGAAGACTTCCACACACCCCTCCCTCCTACCTGCCCCCTCCCAACTTGTGTGCCCGATTGGACCAACCACTTATTTCGTCCTTCCATTCCTATACCTCTGGCACTCACTGCCCGCAGTCAGGGACCGTAATGTTTAACCAAATCCCTATCTCCCTTACTATACTTCAAGGGACAAAAACGATCTGCATGTGTGGCTTCTCATATCTAAGATCTGTCCAAAAGCATTCCTTCTCCTCTTTACCTAGTTTTAATTAATTTCTAGGGCAGAGACTTATTTATATCCAGGCAAACTTCGAGCCGCATGTGTGGCCTCTATATTTCCTCAAACTGTTTTTCTTCGACATTGATTAATGTACGGATGTACTAAAACCACTGTGTCGGACTGTAGGCCATTTGGATTATTTCCGAAATACTTGAGGAAGAAGGTGATCACTGATCTAATAGAGGCCGATTTGAATTAGGAAAAGGCTTGAGCCTTGGAAGATCGAGCTCCACACGCTCGTGCACATAATTGCATGGATCAGGTGGATGTACCCACATTGGCTGAGTGGCACATACAAAGCGTTCGAGGCACCTACACTCGGTCTCTTAGGTAGTTAGGTTGGCGCATGAGACGGGCATCTGATGAAGGTAATTCGCTGGAAGTGCATCTAATGTAGAGACATGAACATATTCATGTCTCCAACGCTCATACCATCCGACTGTCCAAGTAGTATAAATACCCTCTCATGTACTCTAGTAAGGAGGTAGCCAAAATAGCATTGAATGGTATTTTCCTTGGTACATAATTAGTTCTAGAGCGTTTTGCAAGAATTCTTCGTTAATGTGCCATTGTGTTTAGCTTACTAATCCTATCTAACCTTTTAATTGGGAACATTTGAAACGCAAACCTAGGAAAATCATGTTAGATCTTCAGGCTATTCGAATAAACATCCCAATAGCGTGTGGGAAATTGAATGAAAAACATCCCACCTAGGAATCAAATCAGAGATATAGGATGAAGTAGGAACGCCCGATGACAATTTAGCCAATATGTTCGACGCCATTGTAGCTCACTAGCTCAACTGTTATACTCTGTATATCTTACGTAAGCAGTATATCCTTAGGATGTTTTTAGCTGGACCGTAATTTGCTGGTCTAGTCTGGTCTGATTAGAACTGGTCTGGTCTGGTTTACATGTATTTTTATAACTGTTCAATTTGGTCTGGTCTGGTCTGGAACATATTACCGTCCAATACCATTTTTTCACAACTGCTCATTTCTTTTCGATTTTTTTACATTGTCAACTCATCTGCCACTGCATCAAATTAGGCAGGAGACTAAAAAATCTTTTAGTTGGGATTGGGAATCCGTTGTCAATCTCATCTCGGTAACTCTGTTTTTCAACATTTTAATCAAATATGTAATTTTTGATTTCGCGTGCTAAATGACGTAATAATAAGAAAAAAATGAGGTTGAAGTTACTTTTCTAGCTCTATTGGTTGAAGTGATTGTAGATGACCATTTTAGTTATTTTTAATACTCCATATAATTTTTTCTTTCTAGTGTTTCTAAACGGGCTCTAAAACCATTTTCTCTCTTTCTGATGGAATTCATAAATTGACAAATCTTATGACTCTCGAACACATTCAAACTAAACATACTCCCACCGATGATGGTGAATATGTGAGTCAAGATCAAAAGCAAGGTCGAGATGGCGGTGAGATTGAGGAAGACGAAGATTCGTGGCTGGATGCGTCGAACAGATACCTGATTGTGTTCTCGGTACTAATGAGTAAAGTGTCAGTTCAGTACCTCAACTTGCAGCGTCTAGAGTAAAGAGTACCTAAAAGAACCCCTCAGAAAGAGATGCTTTTCATTCAATTTCCCACACAAATTTGCACAATACCACACTAATATGAATTTACGAAGACACTAAAAAATGCATCATATAAATCATTAATCATGCATAATTCATAAATCAAAAGAACATTTGGTGTATTTATTTTTCATAGCTAATAGATTGACAATAATTTACTAGCCGTTGTCAGATTGTTTGAAGCCTTGATAGAAGAAGGTGTTCTAGTCGTCGGCTGCTGTTTGGGCTCCTCACTGCTGACCGCTTTGGCTAATGGCGATTTGCAGGCTTGCGGCGCTCTCTAATGTCTACTCTTGTGCGAGACGGTCAATACCTTATTAAACCTTAGTCCTTTACTTAGATAATTGAGTGTAATTGTAACTTGAAAACCACCGTCCAAAGAAGTAATTAGGTTAGTGGGATGAGGTGGTTTATGAATTGGGAGTTTGGGAGACACATGGGCTATACAAAAAGTTAAAGACAATAAATATTGTGGTAATTTTGTAATTAAAAGAATTATAAAGCATAGAGATGTGAAGAGATTTTAACTACTCAAAGAGGCGTGCCGCATGCCTTTTAACATTTGTTTTAAAATTTTTAATTTTTCAACAAAATTAAACATTATGCCTAATTACTTGAGCTTAAATACAAAAAAGAAGCCTACTCCCGCTATATATGAAGACAAATTGTTGGGCCTATTTTTCCATCCTATTTTTTTGGGCCTAGGGCGGTCGCCCCTGTTGCACCCCCCAGGACCGGCCCTGATCGCACGGGTACTATACTAGTTTCTAAGTATCTTGAAAATATAAAATGCTTCAATGTCATGAATGAGTAGACGTCGTAGGATAATATATGTCTATTTTTCAAAAAAATTGTGTTTTTAATATTTATAAATACACCCCTGAAACTTTTAAAACTTTATAAATGTTAACTTTTAATATTTATAAGTATGGTCCCGTATCCGTATCATACTATTTTTTATTTTGTCGTATCCTCGTTTCCGTTTCCGCTGACCCGTATCCGTGCTACATAGCCCATATAGATAGAATAGATTGGTGGGTCATTGGATTTTCCTTGTTTTATCTGTAAACGTAAGAGCCCACCCATCTTTTTCTTCGTCCGTCTACGTGACCATTTTTTAGTCCGATCCACTAATATTAAAACCTAGGTCTACAAGTGCCTTTAGCCGATGGAATCGGCGAATCGCATAGCAGAGGCTTCATGATAATTTTCAATACAAATTCACCCTCGATCACAAATAGACTTATATTTGCATGTACTCCGATTGGTTCGAACATGCGGTGCATCAATGAGCTTCCCATTGAAAGGTAATTTCCTCTTCGTATTTACACAATGTATCTCCATTTCTTCGATTGAACTTTCATATTTGAGATTTGATTGGAAGAGTGATGTTAATTAGTAAAACCATTATTATCGTACTTTTCTCCTTCCTTTTTACTTTTACCCCTACGTTAAATAAGGTATGAGAATTAAAGAGATTTAATACGTGCACGTTTTATTCGGTAATATTAATGAAAAACAGTCAAAAAATCGTTAAAAAATGTGAAAATCTGTATATGTGTATAATACGGCATCAGTTACACAAATTGGGACAAAAAATACGGGGTATTATTTTTAGCATTTAAATGATATACATGACAAAATAACATACTCCCTCCGTCCCACTTTAAGGTTCCCACATGATTTACGATGTTTGACTGACCATAAAGTTAACTGATCCCTGTCATTAATAGAATTATTTTTAGTAAATAAAATTTACATATTCAGAAACTGCATTAAATCCGCTAGAAAGCCTGCAAAAAATAATTTAAATTTCATAAATTTTCGATATAAAAAGTAAAAGATTAAGAACAATGCACGTTGACCGGAGAATAGTGTAAGGGAACCTTTAAATGAGACGGAGGGAGTACTTCGTATATAGTAAAAGAAATAAAGGTATAGGCTGTGTAGCAAATCTCATTATTACATAAAAGAATATGTAGTAATTCGTAATTGCATTAGTAGATGACAAAAATAAAAATAGTAATTAAGTCCTAGACATACTTTGCAAACTAATGTCAACAAATAAGACATAATAACAATAGAATGAGACTAAGTGAAAATCATTATCTTTACATGATCGTCAAATAACATTCAATTTAAATTCATCATTTTCATCAAAATGACGGATAACAAATGAGAAAAGTTGTGTGACTGCTGGTGCGCTTATTATTGTTTATGTGTGAAAGTTTCTACTAAAAAATGACAGGTTTAGAAAAACTTTAATGTTGACATGTTTGTTTAGAAAAACATGAGAAATCAAGTAGTATTTTAAATCTTAGTCTTTTAGGATGCTAGCTTTAGCCACTGTGCAATTAATTTTAGTATTTAATAATTATATTTTAACTGTACAAAAACATGGGGTCACACACAGGAGTTTCTTTTTTTCTTTTAAACTATTGTTGATCCGCCATGCATTTAATGTTTACATTCGATTGATCCATTCATGTTTTTAATTTTTTTAATAAAATATGAGATGCTAGCTTTAGCCTCCAAGCAATTAATTTTTATATTTGATAATTTTCATTATTGCGTTTAAACTATTGTTGATCTTCTATGCATATAACACGTTCATTCAATTAATCAATTCATGTTTCTATTTTTAGTACGTTACGGGGAAAATATGTTTTATACGGGAAGTAAGAGTTTTTTTCCTTTGTTAACGGACCAACATTATTTTTCGTTTTAAACGTGTTTTTATGTTCAACAAAACGGTACGTCAATCATTCATCATCATCACTATTACCCCCGTGTCGCAAAGGCTCCCACCTACGGTGGGGTAAGGGGGGTCGAATGTACGCAGTCTTACCCCTGTACTAAAGCATAGAGAGACTGTTTCCGAATGTCCCATAGTGAAAATCGCGTCAAAAATTGCATAGACTGACTGACTGTTACTTCATAACAAAGAAGAGCAGACAGTTTAGTGAGCCATTTTGCTTTATTCCATCATATTCCCAAGCCAAAAAATAGTGAGTCTTTGGTACATCAATCATTGTTGTTCAAAAATATTTTTTAGGTGTACGCACTTTTACATATGTCCGTGTAGATCTTTTTATGTCTATACACAGACAAAAAAAACCTACAAAAATTTTTTTTAGTTTTGAGTTCCAATTCCTAGCATTTCCGGCAGGTTTATTAATTCGAAAACCATGAATTGTGTTTTAGGAATTAAGCAAAAACCAATGTACATGCAACTTTTCTGGATTGGACTCTTAAATAGGGTTTATTGCACCAAATCCCATGTGATATGGAAATTCAGCGCATTAGTCCTTAGTGATTTGAAAAATGCGTCAAATCCCTTTGTGTTTTAATTAATCATGCACAAAACCTCTTTTATGAACAAATTTAATTGCCAAATAAAAGAAAAATTATTGATATTTTTGTATGATTTAGAGATTTTGACACATTTACTTGCATATTCAATCAAAATATTAAAAAAATGATTTCCAGATCGTTAAATTTATTGATAATAGGGGTTTTGTGCATGATTAATTAAAACAAAAGGAGATTTGACGTATTTTTCAAATCACAGAGGGCTAATGCGCCGAATTTCGATATCACATGGGGGTTTGGTGCATTAAACCCCTCTTAAATATAACGAAAGTTTTCTAAAATACTCCGTATAAGAAGTCTGTAATCATCTTATCTTATTTTTTGGTCTTGAAATCTCTTCTAGCTTTTGTTTTTTTATAAATTATAATTTCTAAGATGCTTTGTTTTTCAGTGCGATAAATTCTACGGAGTACGTTTCACAATGTTTTCTTTTGGACTGAAATTTGCTGGTCTGATCTGGTCAGGGTTAAGGTTAGGTGCAAGGGTACAGGTACGAGGTATGGTTAGGTGCATCATCAACCGTCACTTGACCAACTTCCGCGAGTTATACGCCGTCTCTCGGGATTGAATACCAGATTCCTTCTAGGTTGCTTGATGAGCGTAACTTCAACTACAGCAAGGTCTCTTGTCATCTCCTCAGGGTTATTAGGAACTTGTATGTTTGCGGATTCGCAAATCATTTCTTCTCCGAGTGTATTCCAATCGTTCTGCTTAAGAACAAGCTTTGGATCCAAAGAATATGCATTCTTGGCGTAGTGATCTACAATGCTTTCTCTTATGGAGTTTAAAACGGACTGATTCGGATATCATTTGACAGAGGGTTAATATCGCCCGTTTTGTACTAGTCACCGTCGCATTGATCCGCACTCAAACTGAATTTTGTGAGTTTGATGACAGAAGTTTCAAAAGAATCCCTGCCCAATTTCAATTTGAATCTGGACCCTAAGGATGTGTAGCTCCCGGGGATTTGTATGAGTTTTGAGCCTTCAAAGAGTTCTGCGTCCTTTTTTTCCTTAAGAAAGTATAGAACCCCATCCGATGGCCTGAAACCCAGTATATATAAGTCGTATGTCCTGAACTACAGTTCCAAAGAACATTGTTCCCAACTCGCCTCTGCCTTTAAAGTGACCCTAAAGTAGCTTAGATCTTCTTTGTGGGGTAAAATAGGTACAGAAACTCTCTTGCTCCCCAAATACAGAAATGCATATATAAGAGGAGAATTTTGAACTATGAAACGTCGAATAAACCTATCATAACTATCCGGGATAGAATTGTGTATAGAAAATCGAAAATTGGCAGGAAAAAGCTTAGGTTTAGGCGTTGATCCACTACTTTCTCCCCTAATAAGTTTTTTACGAGAGCTCAATCTCTTACGGGGCTTTTCACGCGGTTGAGGAGGCTTTGGTGTGTTTGAACTCATGGAGGAGCTTCTTCTTGCCAATTTTCGATTTTCTATACACAATTCTACCCCGAATAGTTATGATAGATTTATTCGGCGTTTCATAGTTCAAAATTCTCCTCTTATATATACATTTCAGTATTTGGGAAGCAAGAGAGTTTCTGTACCTGTTTACTTCACAAAGAAGATCTAAGCTACTTTACAGTCACTTTAGAGGCAGAGGCGAGTTGGGGGCAGTGTTCTTTGGAACTGTTGTTCAGGACATACGACTTATATATAGTGGGTTTCAGGCCATCGGATGGGGTTCTATACTTTCTTAAGGAAAATAAGAAGGACGCAGAACTCTTTGAAGGCTCAAAACTCATACACATCCTCGAGAGCTACACATCCTTAGGGTCCAGATTCGAATTGAAATTGGGCAGGGATTCTTTTGAAACTTCTGTCGTCAAACTCACAAAATTCAGTTTGAGTGCGGATTAATGCGACGGTGACAGTACAAAACGGACGATATTAACTCTCTGTCAAATAATATCTGAATCAGTCCGTTTCAACTCCATAAGAGAAAGCATTGTAGATCACTACGCCGAGCATGCATATTCTTTGGATCCAAAGCTTGTTCTTAAGCAGAACGATTGGAATACACTCAGTGAAGAAATGATTTGCGAATCCGCAAACATACAAGTTCCTAATAACCCTGAGGAGATGACAAGAGACCTTGTTGTAGTTGAAGTTGTGCTCATCAAGCAACCTAAAAGGAATCTGGTATTCACTCCCGAGAGACGGCGTATTAGGATACTTGCGAAAGTTGGTTAAGTGACGGTTGATGATGCACCTTGCGTGTATTTATAGAATCAAGAAGAGTAGATTCATCAATGTCGCAAAAAGAATCACCATAGCAAAAGGGATCGGACATCACATTCCAAATCCATGGAAGTGGAGATCGATGCCGGTTTTCTTGCAATGTATGCTGCCAAAGATCTTCAGGAATGACGTGCAAGCATTTGATCATTGTCCAAGAGGTTCTTTTGGTTTCCCCGGGTGGCTTGAGTTGAGTCTTGTTTGTGGATTATTGAACGAGATCATGTTACTCAAGTACAGTTCATCACAAGGAGACCATAAAGTGGAGGAGTTTGTGGATGACGTCCCACAAAACAGTTAGTGTGAAGATCAAGGGACAAGAAGTGCTTTTGGTGGTCAGGATCCATGGAGGCTGCACCACTGAGAACAGTTTTCGGGTTTGTAATTGTGTTTTAGGTGGTGGCAACAAGACTACACCTAGCAATAATAAAAACCGGGTGACTCTAATAACCTTTTCTGGGCAGATTCCTCCGTTCTGATATTCAGAACCTTAGCCTAGCCTTTCATCGGATGTGTTTTGGCACCAAAAGAGTGTTCAGAGTCGGTAAAGAGGGTGTCAGTTTGGTGATGGTGTTTTTCTCTCTAACACGAGTGGACTTGCACAAACTGAAAAGGTACAAACTATAAAAATGTTTGTTCATGCATATAAGCAGTAGCCACTAGAGGTTATCTCATACAAATGCAGCAATTCTTGACAGTTTAATTTTTTTAAAAGGATGTTATTGTTTAGTGTCTGACATGTACATTGGTTCAAGCCTGTTTGTTAGTACATCAGGCTATTCATGTTAGAAATTTGTAGTGTACACAATAAGCTATGTTTGGTTTAGATTTTTAAGTACACATACATATAATGAAAGCATTTTTCTTTTAAAATATATTTCTATTTATTTGCTCAGGAATAAACAACGTATATCATGCTTTGCCGGGTGTTCTCCCTTGTCAAAAACCCTATAACCACCACCGTCAAAGGTTTAGTGTTGTTTCCTCAGCAAAGCTAGGGTTTGTGTCAACTCCCAAAGTTCATCTAGGGTTTCTCTTTTGTTTTTGCTTGTATTTTCATTCAACAACCCACTGGTTTGGGATTTTCTTTTGCGTATTCAGGAAGTTGTCCCTCCCTCGAAAGGTGAATCTGTCGGCTCAACAAGTAACAAACATCTTAATAACGGCAGGTTTCTGATTCGTAATCTCAATCCCCGTTGGAGAAATGCATGTCCCCACCCTCATATTTGTCATCAATACTCTCCTTTGTGAGGTTATTTTGTTTTTTCCTAGATATTTGTTGTAGGATAAATACCTAATGAAGCTCTTGTTCTGTGGAGCAATAGATGGGCCCTTGATTGAGGAATATACTTTCTTCTACTTTTTCATGTGCTTGTGCATTCAGAGGCTAGTAATCACTACCAGGTATTTAGAAATTATTTGGTTGATATGCCATTATGCCATAAAAGAAAGAAATTTAGCTTGCTCGTCCATCATCTAACATTCTGAGTAAATTTGACTGAAAACAGAATATGATGCTTTTGCAGCCTGATGATTGCAGCCTCGATCGCTGGACCAAAAGCCTTCGCAAAAATCTTGTACTAGCTCTCAAGGTAAGAACCGTGGATTGGAGTGAGGAGATAATTGGATAAGTAATTTATGATAAATAATTTTCTCTAAAATGGTAACCTGGATAGGTCAAGGGTGTTCTTGGCCCCTTGAAGATGATAATGATGACAATCATAGTGACAATTTTATCCAATAATAGTCATATTTAAATAAATATAATTGCACACATCAATCAGTTTATCATCATAATAGCATAGAGTTTTTGCTGATTCACATTAGTGTAGAAGTGCATTAAAAAAGAAGGTTGAGAAGACTTACCAAAGGCGCTGCTGTAAGGAGCTTGAATGTGTTGATGAACTCAAAAAATGGGTGCAGCTTCAGCCCAACTTATTGCAATTGTCTCTAAATCACCCTTAACGGAAACAAAACCAGTATAAAAAAACACACTGTATTAAGATCTTTTGTTTTTGAAGAAGTGAAGATAAATACATTAAAACCGTTTTAAAAAATAGGAACCGAACCATTAACAAATAACTAATGAATTTCGGAACCGAACCGGGTCATAACGGTCCGGTTCGGTTCTCCGGTTCTTCGTTCCAAAGTCCCAGCCCTAGCATGGTGGTGGCGGTGGTGATGAGGAATTATGACGAAACAGCGTTCTTAAGTGTTGACAGTAGTCATATAAAATTCTGAGGGAAATAGTCTACAGATTTGTTACATTGTTAACATTTCAAATATGGACTTCCAGTAAACTGACTTCGTTGTTGTATTGTGACCTGGATATGTTCCCTTTCTTTATATCCCACATGTATGCTTGCTTTATTTGTATTTTAAAATGTCTAATTCATCACTATTTAAATACCCGCACTTTCTACGTTTTAATACCATTTTCCCACTTCATACTATTTCAGGGTGGCATTACCTTTTTTGTGGTGGGGATTTTTTTTTTCCATATGCTGATATGTTTAAATGGATTTCTTATAGAACGGTAAATCCTAATTTCTTGAACAGCATTAGCTACTCACCTCTATTTCTTTCTTTTAATCTTGTTTGCAGTTTTTCTTATATTACAGGATATTATTCCTCATGGGTTTCTCTAGGCAGAAAGCATCTTGGATGTGAACAGTCATACTTTGCACGGTTTCACTTTAGACAATAACATACATTCGTGGTTTCAATCATTCGTGTCCATTCAAGGGTGGTATTGGAGTGGTTCATTCGGCAATGATCATTTTATGCATTGCTTCAAAAAAGCTCATGTTTGACTGTAGCATTAGTAATTTAGCCCCATGAGTTCCCCTAATGTAGCATTAGGGGCAGTTTTACTTTCTCCCCTAATAAGTTTTTTACGAGAACTCATGGGACTAAATTACTAATGCTACAGACCTACAGTCAAACTAGAGAGCTCAATCTTTTACGGGGCTTTTCACGCGGTTGAGGAGGCTTTGGTGTGTTTGAACTCATGGAGGAGCTTCTGCTGCGCACTGCAATGGCCGTTGGGAGCTTTCTCGTGCGTGTGGGAAGGTACTACTTCCATATTAGGAGCTTCTCGTGCAATTGCTAGATTCTCGTGCAATGACCATTAGGAGCTTCTACTTCCAGATTTTTTTTCTCCCTTCAAGGCACTCAAGCGTGGATCAAAGGCCAAGGCACTCTATTTACATAATACCCTTTCTTCTATTGAAATCTCATTTTTATCTACAAATTCGATTTGTGCAGAAAGAAATCTTGATTTGTCTTAGTGTCATTACGGCCAGATTTTTTCATGTTATCTTCAAAATGATTTGGAAAGCTCTAGTTTAAGGATTTGAGTCACACATCTCATAAAATTAATTTTAGTTTTTATTTTGTTTGTGCCAATTCAATTTTAATTTTAGTTTTTAATTTAAGACATAGGGAACTCTAATTGTTTTATTATATTTAGCTAGAGTTTTAAAGAAGAGTTTATCAGAACACATTATTAAGGTGTCATGTTTATTTTAAGGGAAAATTCCCGAAATAGGACCAACAAGTTTGAAAATTCCAAAATAAGACTGCTATGTTTTTGTTCCCAAAATAGGAGTAATTCCTGTCAATTGTGGAAAATACTCTCATGTTTGAAATCTGGTACTGTCAAAACATGGCAATAATTAGTCATATTTTGAGAATAAAAACATGGCAGTCCTATTTTCAAACCTTTTTAGTCCTATGTCAGGTAATATTCTCTTATTTTAATAAATTGAGTTCGGCTTTCACAGGTAAGTTGATTGCCACCGGTATATGTTAGTTTAACCAAAAGAAAGAAAGAAATTGGGTTGATTCTTAAATAAATCATTTTAGATTATTTGTTATTATTAAGTGAGTTTGGTGAATAATTTGATTACTTGTTTTATTTGTCGTATTGAGTGATGTTATTATCTGTCATAAATTATTGATGTATTTTATTTTCAAATTTAAGTGATATTTTCAATCAAATGTCACTATGAAAAAAACTATTTTTAAAAAAGTGAAAGATTATATGGTATGTACTCATGAACAAGTTCTGCAAAGTTATCATAGATTAGTGTTTTAGAAAGTCCTGTAGGTTCAATGGGTCACTCCTCTGGGCTGTCGAATTGGCGGCATTGGGTACATATCTCGGTCTCGAAGTAAAAAAAAAAAAATTAGCCACAAAGTTTACATAAAAATAATGAGTTTAGTTTTAAAATGTTTTACAAAATCTTTCTAGAAAATAATTGTAAAATGGGAAAAAGAAGTGTATGTCAAAATATTATTAATTCGTGCCAAAACTCCTATATTTCTGTAATGTTTGTATTAAATATTGAGATTCAATATTACTTATTAAATCTTGTGATTCAATAGTTCTGTCATGTAGTTTCAATTCTAAATATGAAAGATTCAATTATATACACTGATTTAGATATCATTAGTGTGCTTGGGAACTCTCGAAAATTAAGAAAAAGTAAGATCAGTCCGAAAAAGTAAGAATTGAAATGATACAAAAGGGGGAATAAGGATCAGTTTGGTTCTCGAAGTTGCAAAAAAGGGGGTCGAATAAGTCTTTATATAGAAGATTTTGTCCGGACGTGCCATTTGAGGTGGCTCCCGGTGGAATTTTTTAATTTAAATTTTTTTAGAATCTTACTCATTATGTCTAGTTTACTCATACCAAATTTCAGATAAAAATTCAATTGGGAAGACATTCAAATGAATTCTTGAAGATAACTGTGCTGTTAAAAGCGCAGTTATCTTCAAGAATTCATTTGAATGTCTCCCCGATTGAATTTTTAGTTGAAATTTGATATGAGTAAACTAGACTTGATGAATAAGATGCTCAAAAAATTTAATCAAAAATTTTTTGATTAACTGGACTGCGATGCCACTGCAAAACAAAAAAACGCCTTTTAACAAAATATCAGAACAGCCGGAGTCCAACTAACATGGGTTAATTAGTGATCAATGATATAGTATTGATTAGTTGCTCTGTGATTAGCATGTAGGAAAAAATAGACCTTTGGAGTGGCTTCTGCTTCCTAAGATCCCAAACGCCGAGTTAAAAAGTAAAAGAGAAAAGCTGCTCCTCGTTGTTCCACCATAAATGGATAGTTAACTACTGTGATCTCTTGTTGGTGACCTGTTGACCCATTTAATGATGGGATGCCAACATTGAACCTTGCTGTTCCAGGATACAAATGAAATTTCACTTTGGGTCGAGGATCCGCTATCCAGTTACCTTTAGACAAAACACCGTTTACAATGATTAGCTAAATATACTTATTGGAGAATCAGGGATGACATTTGCATATCACATCATAAGAAATTTTACTTTCTTGAGGTAAATATTCAAATCCAGGAAAACAATCCTTGTGCCAACAAAGGCTATAGAGAAGAAAATATCACATCCCCTATGACAGATGATGCAGGCATTGCTGGGGGTTTTTGATAATCACACCAATGTGTTGCCTTTAAAACAAATAAATTAGCAACCCATCATATGAGAGCATAGCAAAAAGAAATCAAATTATGAATCAAGGTTCTACGCTTGTATGATGTTTTAGCCCAAACGAAACTCCATAGCCCATATATATTTTTAGACACACCCATGAAGCTTGCTCCTAAATATTAGTTAGCCCGCATTTTCCTTCAATACTCTGCTCAGTAGTAACCCTACGACATAAAAAACCTTCAAGAAATTTTGGTTGAAAAGCTTAACAATATCTTTAAAAAAACTTATTTCAAGTACTTGAGTAAATTCCATCTAAGGCTAAGATGCTGATGTTGTAGTAAATTCCAGCTATATATCTTATAGACTTAAAAAGCACTCAATTTTTCATTCTAATTCTTATTGGTAAGCTAAAAAATCTCAAACAAATTAAAACCCAAAAATAACAACATTTTTTTGTTAATAGGAAACAAAAATGTGGTTAAGTTTTATTGGAAAATGGCTTGAACTATGGGTGATTCCAATTTAATCAACACATTTGGCCTCAACTCACATTTCCTTTGTTGCAGAAGCCACTCCAGAGTGTTTTGAAGCTAATGGGAATTCAGGCATTAACCTAATACCATTTAAAGACTCATCTTCGGGTAAATAATCAGCACCCTTTATTGTTATTCCTTGGCATTAAGTTTTCCCAAATCCCACATGCCAGATGTCAGATGCATCCTATGCCATCGCATACGCAATTATTTCACCATATTAACAATCATAAACACTAAGGGCCTGTTTACTAACAGAAATATTTTCTGTTTTTCCAAAAATTTGGAAAACTGGAAATAGAAAAGTCAGAAAACATGTTTACCAAACTATTTTCCAGAAGAAAAAAAACGAAACAAGTTTCACTTTTTACGCGTGAATTGGAAAACTGGCTTATATGCGTTTTCTAGTTTTAGAAAACGCGGTGCTACAGTACTTTCATTTACTCACTCGCCTTGTTCCTCCTACCACCATTACTGCCTTTCATTTCTCCCTTACCTTCCTCCGCCTAACTTCATTACTCGGCTTCAACTAATCTCACCTTCCCCTCCTTTCCAGCTTAAAAGTCGGACGTGAGCTTCGCCAACCACTGCACCTCTTCTCCAACATGCCACAGCTTCGGATTCGTGTGAGCAGAGCTTCCCTACCTCTTCCTCACATGGCTATCACGCTCCAGGTTCACAAATCAGGCCATCGCTGCTAGGAGCTGAGCCCCAACATCACGACATCTCCCTGTTCTTCCGTCGGCTCCTGTTCTGCCAACGATTTGAAGGTAAGCTCTGAAACTCAATAAATTTTTCAACTTTGCTGATTCAAAATTGAAATCCGATTTGAAATTTGAAAACCAATTCAGTTTCTTAAGCCTGAACTTCATGGTTAGGGTTTGTTTTTCTTAATTTTACTTTTAGCTTTGTAGCTTCGTTTGGAATCCTTAAAACCTATTCACTATTAGCTTCAGTTTTTTTCATTTCTGGTAATTGTTGCTGTACTAGTTTATGATTAAGGCTTAGTTGAGTTTGTAATTTATATACCACGTATATACTTTTGTATTCTTGTTTTATGCTTTGAGATGTGTAGTCCAGGTTAGTAGTTACTTCATATTTTATTTTGTACTTTATTTGTGTAGTTTAGTTAGTTTTATCAAGTTTGTAGTTAATGGAGATTGGAAAAAAATATGTTGTAGTTAAATGGCATTTTCACTTTACATTTTTGAAAAATCGGATTCAATTGGTAACCTGGAAGCAATTGAAGCCTGAAACTCATACCCATGTGAGTGTCCTACAATTTTAAAGGCCAATTGAGCTTAATTTTTTTCCCTGGGTTTTTCTGCTGCAGCAGTCTTGGGTCAATAGTTATTTGATTTTTTTGACACTTGATTGGTTTGATGTATATAAATAAGTTGGAATTGAATGTGATCCAAATTACTTTCATTTTTCCTTTTTTTGTGTCTGAGTTTGTTGCTTAAGAAGTATGGGCTAATGCCTGGTTTAGATTTTAATGATTTTTTTTGGCATTGATTATGGTTCACGTAGTAGTCAAATAAAATTAACATTTCGCATATGATTTACGTTGTGACCAAGCTATCAAAATTTTAGTTTGTATGAGCATGCTACGAAATAAATTAAATGATCAATCAGCGCAATACATGTGTTAAAATATTGGTAAAAATAACTGAATGCCCATGCCCGTGCAGACTCTCATCTTCCTGGGAGTTGAGTAATATGAGCGCATAGCATCACGCTACGCAAAGATTTTAATGATTGGATGGTTTTATTTCTTATGCTAATCTGTTCTCTTTGAAAAACAGTTTTGATATAAGCATCTAGTTCACATTAGCATTATATTGCTAGTTGCAGTTGATAGTATTTCTAATAAGATTGAAAAGAGTGGCATGATTCAATGAAATCTTGTTAAGCAGGGTTCAATGAAATCTTGTTAACATAATGACTTTGTTTTTTTGATAAATTTAGCTAAGTGGTTTTAAGCAGTGGCATGTCATTTGTTCCATATCTGTACGGATCAGAGTATGATTCAGACAACTTTTATCTTATTAATAGTTAGTTACTGGCTGGGATAAAGAAATGGGCAATTAGGGATCAGAGTATAATCCAGACAACTTTTATCTTATTAATAGTTACTGGTTGGGATAAAGAAATGGGCAATTAGGCCACTTTTATGTAATTAATTTATGCAATTAGGCCATTTCTTTTCCTGGTATCAAACTTTCCAGTTTTTTTACTTCATTTCATGTGTACCCTGTATCCCATAATATGTAGATGAGTGTCAATATTTGTTGTGGTAGATGAGTTTAACACAAGAAGAAAAAGATGATGCCATATGGCCCGATGAAAAAGAGACTTTATTTTTTACTGTGCTATATGAACGGGTAAAAAAAGACCCTACTGGGAATCCAACATTTAAGTCCCGAGATTGGAATGATATGGATAGTGAGATGTTGGTCCGAGGCCATTATCAATATGGTAGTGACAGGCTACGGGGAAAGTACAATAAGATGAAGCTCATACATAGACAATTTGGTCAGTTATTGGCTCATACTGGAGTTACATATGATTCCAGTCGGAATGTTGTTCATGCCACAGAGGAAGTATGGCAGAAATTTAACAAGGTGAATGTTTAATTTAATTAATTTATGACATTTGAATCATATTTAATTTTTTAGAATCATATTTTACTAAGCTCTTTAATTGACATATGCAGATGAACAAGGGCTTTAGGACCCTTAAAAGGAAGGGTTGCAAGAACTATCTGTTAATGAATCTTGTTTTTGGGAAAGGGAGTGCAAGTGGAGGACTTGCTACTCCTTCCACCCAAGTACCGACTCACTCGGATGAGGAAAGAAGGAATGAGGACATATTCTTACATGGTGAGGGGGGCATGAGCTCAGAGAGATCACACTCAAAAGGGAAACGCAAAGCTGAGGAAGCGATGGGATCAAGCAATAAGGACTGGAAAAGTGTTTTGGCTAATGCGGTCCACACATACACGACAACAATGAGTGAAAAAGAGAAGAGACGTCGATCTCGAGATGAAGATGTTAGTACCACATCTACAGGTGCAGCGGGAAATTTTTCTATGACTCGATGCGTTGAAGTCATAAATGCCATGCCGAATGTGTCAACCCGTGCTTATAATGATTCCATTGATGCACTTACAGATGTTGTCCGACGTGAGGCCTTTATGGCTATGCCCGCAGACCGTCAATTGGATTGGGTTATGAGATTTGATTCTAACTAGTTAAACTGTGTTTGGATTTCGTAATCCATGTTATATGTTTTATGTATGTGCACTTGAACACTTTGGTAGAACAATATTTATGTATGTAAGTCTGCAAGTCCTTAGGGTCTATTCACATATTGCCAGCCTTTCAGGTTTCTATTCACATAGTGCCTTCTACTCTTACTTCTCTGATCTTTACTATCTAGTATAAGTGAATTGCCTGCGAATGAACTCAATGTGCTCGTTTGGATGGTTTTGGTGGGATAAAAAACTTGGCAGAAGCTCCTCCTCGTGGTAGAAAACAAAACCATAGAACCTGCACTTCTTTTTGGTGTATATGAGTGTATCAGGTCCTTGTTACACGTGGTTTCCTTTATATTTATAATTGTCAGTTTAAAGAATCCCTTGCATTAAAAATAAGAAACTGATGTTGTGACACAGGGAATAGTATTATGAGTTATCTATTGCTTTGCTTAAAAATAATATGCTAATGAAAATACAGAACACTATCACAAAAAAAATTGAAAATACAGAACACTAGGTAATGATGACCAGAAACTAGAAAATTGATGTAAAAGTATATCATCATCTTGTCATTGTGCAGGGTAATTAATGAAAGTGTTTGTTTGTCTATGTATTGGTTGTGGAAATTTTTGAAAGTGTTTGTGTGACACCCCGAAAATTTTAAAACATATATATATAAATTATATCAGTCGGATAAAATGTTACGAAAGTGACATTTAATAATTAAGTGAATGAGATAAAATTCTACCATCAGTGACATTTTTAATAAGATAAAAATGTTTCATTTTATAATAATTATGTTGACCAGAAAAGACCTTGACTTTAATAACAAAAGTAACATTTTTGTAATAGGTAATGATTATACAAATGATATAAAGAATAAAAGTGCATATTGACGATCTTAATTCAAAAATACGGGGTTCTAATATATGTACCAAAGTACACATAAATACAACACAAAAATATCAATACTAAAAGAGTTGTAATAAGACATGGAGTAAGGTACTTCGTACAAGGCACACATATTCACGTGGAGTGACAAGCACAAATGCGGGAATCGTCCAACCAATCTGGCAATTTGATAAGGGAAGGTCAGTGTGTACTTAGCAGTACAGATGCACATGTATTTGCAGTGCTCTGTGACCCGGGAAGGTGTGAATATATTTGCAGGTCCATGTTTATTATTATCATATATACTACTCCGTATCATTTTATTTTGACACCCACATGGGAATGTCATGTACGTACATGCATCTCTCACCAGCTAGGTAAAGCACTACAACCACAAAAATTTCCTAGTGTCATAATTTTACTCTAGCAGACGTGGAACCTTCCTACTGCTTATATAATTATATATAGGACTATTACGTCGATCTGCGTTTACATATACAAACTAAGGCCATCGACATATAAATATACGTCTGAAGGATATATATTCACGTTCTGCAACTAAACAAAAGAAAGTGAGAAAGAGAGAAACGATCGTCAAAAGAGGGAGGAAAAAGCTGGCCGGAGTTCGCCGGAGAATAAGCTTTGAACGTGCCGCCATTATAACGGGAGGAGCTGCTGCACCAGGGAACTAACTGCCAGACCAAACTACTATCTGAGCATCCCTCTCGACGTCGCCGGGGAAGAGGACACACCGGTGGGTCGCTGCCGACCAGACCGTTCCCACGACGGAGAACGAGTCACCGGAGGTACCGCCTATTGTACGCAAATCATATTACTCCGTATTAATTTTGACAGGCTGAAATTTTATTAATCGGGGCTGAAAGTAATTAACTTAAATGAGCCGAACTGTTTGATTAAGGAATGAAGGAGAAATTAGAAGGTTTAGGATGGGCTGTTTGTGTTACTGTTCAACCCTCACAATAGTTCAAGGAATAAGAAAATGGCCTGAGCTAAATGAAAAATAATGAGATTAACAATAACTATATATTAATAATAATAATAACATGTTGGGGCTAAACTATGGTAACTGGAATCGGGCTGGCCGAGATTAAAATGACCATATGGTCTAATGAAATATTGATAGCTCTATAAATTTGTAATCTTTTAGATTAATTTGTCATTTCAATAAATTGTCTATAATAATTAGACCATAACAAAATGGATGTGTAAGTTATTACCGACCATTATAGAAACTATTTACTGGAAGTAGTTAAATTACAAGGGGTGGCCAGAACTTATAAAGGGTGGAGGAGTATAACTATAAATTTGATAGATATTGATTTTAGAATTTTAATATTTTAGAAGGTGAATTTTGGTGAAGATCGAGGTTAAAGCTTCGGTTAGGAATTATCACAATTCGAGGTAAGTACTATGTCAACCAAATTTCATGCTTTTCCTATATAAATATATTTGTGACTAGTTATTTGAGATCATTTGAGTATATGATAGTTAATGAGATTTTACGTATCAATTGTGATTGTGAATTATATATATTTGAGATTTGAGTATTTTATATTGGGTGATATTTTGAGCATTTGAATTTACATATGAATTGTTATTTGATTGAGATCGATTTGAGATTTGAGCTACTTATGAAGTATCCTAAATTTTGGACTATTTATGGTATATTTGAGTATGATGAGTTGGAGTTAATAATTTTATTGTGAATAATTTTGTGGAATTCGGATTTTATATCCATTTTGATTGAGGTTATGATACTTGAACTTTGAGGATGAATTATGATTTTGTGAGTACCCGGAGAAATGTGGATTTGGTGAGTGGTAATGACTATAAGTCTAATTCCACCAGGGATCTCCCAAAAGCGGAGCATCCCAGCTTAATTGTAGTAGTCGGTAGAAAAATCCCGACTACTCGGACTTTTTACTACCCGGAGAGCTTGGAATCTCTTTTAGGGGGTGTGCACACTTAAGGTAGGAGTTCGGCTTCCATTGAAGTTGGTTGAGTTTGAATGATTGAACTTGAGATGATTTGGATTATTTGGTTGGACTTGATGGAGATGAATTGAACTACATTATATTGGATTATTTGAGTGGGTTATATTTGTTTGGATTGGATTGAATTTGATGTGGTTGAGATTATTAAATTATCGGTAGATTTTCAAAGTAATACTTATTTGATTTGATATGGTTATGTTGAATATTGATTATGAGTATTTGGAAGTATTTTGAGATGAATATTTGGGCTTTACATATGATTTATGTTTTGGAATATAATTACGAGGATTTTGGTGGTTTATGTATATTGACCTTTTAGAATTATTATGATTTGGAAATATGTACATATATTTGGAATATTATTACTTTACATGTGATTTTGTGATGAGAAGTTTGTATAAAATGTTTTATGAGGTTTCCTCCCAAATGTTTTCACAAAATGATATATATGTATCAAACATGATTATTTTACAGGGTTGGGTGGGCCTTACTTAGCATTTCCAGCTAATTTTTGTTTCTTTGTGTTTTTCTTTCTGTACTTTATTTGTGCAGGAATTGAGGATCATATTGAAGTTGATTTCGAGAGCTTCCACTAGAATACATAGACTAAAGTGATTGAGTAATTTATTTTAGTCTCAATTTTAAAGAATTGTAGTTGAATAGTTAATTAGGGAAAATTTTATTTTGTTGGTGGTGGATAGCCTGTGCACTCGGTTATGTGAGAACCGAGTGTGGCGGTAACGCCCCTGTTTCCCTTTGAATTTTCCGCTGCAACACTCTGATGTTTTCGAATAAATCATTATTTACTTTCAATAAATCATTATTCAAATGTATTTTTGGGTGGGAAATTTGGGGGTGTTACAAGTTGGTATCAGAGCCTTTCATTTTTTAAATGGGGGTTTTCAAACATTTTCTAAGATTTTCCTTTTCCTCAAGTGATACCAACAAATTGGTATGACTTACTGTTTTCGAAAGTGTATTTTTGAATAAAAGTTTTCATTCACTAACTTCGGTTTTCAAAAAAAAAAAAAAGGAGTCCATAACATTTTATAAGATTTTCTAAAACTCTTTAAGAGATACCAACAAATTGGTATGAAAGCCTATGATTTTCAAACTTCGAATTTTCAAATAAAACTTTCTTTATGTAACTATGATCTTCAAAAAGGCTTTACTTTTTAAAAGCGATTGAAATTTTCCCAAAAAGTTTTCTTAATGTTTTTCCTAAAAAAAAAAAAATATATCGGTCTTCTAAATGTTCTTCAACAGAAAGAAATTTAGGGATAATAAGTCGTATTAAGAAAGAATAAGCAAAAAAAAAAAAGTCTAGGGTACGGGTGAGAATGTGAGATTTTGAATTTCTACTTTGATGGAGTTTGTGGTTATTTGAATTATTTGAGTTATACTTATATGAGGTATATATTTATGGACTCATTTGAGAATGAGTTTGGACTTTTAGAGGAACTTACCAAATTAAGTGAGTAGTAAGTTACTTCGTATTAGTTAATTAAGGTAGTATAAATGTAAATGTCATTGACATACTTTGTGTCTGAAACATTATTTCAAGTAGACAATGAAGTCAACGAGAACCAAAGTAGAAGACAATATCGCTGCACCGACGAATGCGGAATTGGCTCAAAATATGGTTCAACTCATCCAGACTATCGGGAGTGTGTTAGTTCAGAACCAACACCAACAACATCTCAAAAACCGCAATGATGTAGCGAAACTTATAGCGAAGCGCAATCCACCGTGTTATTTAGGCCAAGAAGATCCTCTCATCCTTGAGGATTGGATTCGCACTTTCGACAAACTTTTCGACGCTATAAACTGCCCTGCAGATCAACGAATTAATACGGCTGCGTACTATCTACGTCAAGAAGCAGACAATTGGTGGGCCACGACTGCCCCAACGTTGCGTCAACAACCTGACTTTTCTTGGGAGACGTTCAAGGAGGCAATGCGAAAAAGATTCTACCCCGAGCACGTGAGAGCTGAGAAGTATGAAGAATTTTTACACCTGAAGCAAATAGGCATGACTGTCCAAGAGTATCACGCTAAATTCTTGAATCTCGCACGATTTGCAACCACGCTAGTCCCCAATGAAATCGAGAAAACTAACAAGTTTATACGTGGTCTAAACTTCGAGACACAAAAAGCTCTTTGTGTTTCAGAATGCCAAACGTTGAACGATGCCTACAACAAAGCTGGCAAACACTATCGAGTGCAACAACTCCAGAAGAAAACACTCAAGAGAGCGAGGAAGGGGGCTGAAGGAGAAAGTAAACAAGGAGGCAAACAACGTGAGCTAAATCAGCTAGGGCAGACCCGAAACGAGAACAAGATCAACAACCAAGGCCAAGGCCAGAAGCGTAAGAAGAAGAACTCAACTGAAGAGATGCACTTCCACTGCTCGAAGTGTAGAAAAGATCACCCTGGGACATACTGTGATGGAACGCTCGTACGATGTTTTCATTGTGACAAGCTAGGGCATAGGGTGTTCGAGTGTTATTCAAGGAAGAAGGGAATCCCTCCAACTCGTGGACCCAATCGTCATCCAAAACGCAATGGAAGAACCTTAGAATAGTAGGCGAAAACATATCAATTCCTAATTTTCATAATTAGTAAAAATGTTTGAGAATTATGTATCGTTTGATCTTTGATGAATAAATTATTTTCTTGAATAAAAAAAAAAAAGAATTATTTTCTTGAATAAGTTAAATGCTTCGAGACGAAGCATTCTTTTAAGGAGGGTAGAATGTGACACTCTTAAAATTTAATAAAAATGATTGAACATAAACTAACATGTGATAACTATTAATTGTATTTGTGGATTATTTTCTTAGATTATGCTTCGGGACGAAGCATCTTTTAAGGAGGGTAGAATGTGACACCCCGAAAATTTTAAAACATATATATATAAATTATATCAGTCGGATAAAATGTTACGAAAGTGACATTTAATAATTAAGTGAATGAGATAAAATTCTACCATCAGTGACATTTTTAATAAGATAAAAATGTTTCATTTTATAATAATTATGTTGACCAGAAAAGACCTTGACTTTAATAACAAAAGTAACATTTTTGTAATAGGTAATGATTATACAAATGATATAAAGAATAAAAGTGCATATTGACGATCTTAATTCAAAAATACGGGGTTCTAATATATGTACCAAAGTACACATAAATACAACACAAAAATATCAATACTAAAAGAGTTGTAATAAGACATGGAGTAAGGTACTTCGTACAAGGCACACATATTCACGTGGAGTGACAAGCACAAATGCGGGAATCGTCCAACCAATCTGGCAATTTGATAAGGGAAGGTCAGTGTGTACTTAGCAGTACAGATGCACATGTATTTGCAGTGCTCTGTGACCCGGGAAGGTGTGAATATATTTGCAGGTCCATGTTTATTATTATCATATATACTACTCCGTATCATTTTATTTTGACACCCACATGGGAATGTCATGTACGTACATGCATCTCTCACCAGCTAGGTAAAGCACTACAACCACAAAAATTTCCTAGTGTCATAATTTTACTCTAGCAGACGTGGAACCTTCCTACTGCTTATATAATTATATATAGGACTATTACGTCGATCTGCGTTTACATATACAAACTAAGGCCATCGACATATAAATATACGTCTGAAGGATATATATTCACGTTCTGCAACTAAACAAAAGAAAGTGAGAAAGAGAGAAACGATCGTCAAAAGAGGGAGGAAAAAGCTGGCCGGAGTTCGCCGGAGAATAAGCTTTGAACGTGCCGCCATTATAACGGGAGGAGCTGCTGCACCAGGGAACTAACTGCCAGACCAAACTACTATCTGAGCATCCCTCTCGACGTCGCCGGGGAAGAGGACACACCGGTGGGTCGCTGCCGACCAGACCGTTCCCACGACGGAGAACGAGTCACCGGAGGTACCGCCTATTGTACGCAAATCATATTACTCCGTATTAATTTTGACAGGCTGAAATTTTATTAATCGGGGCTGAAAGTAATTAACTTAAATGAGCCGAACTGTTTGATTAAGGAATGAAGGAGAAATTAGAAGGTTTAGGATGGGCTGTTTGTGTTACTGTTCAACCCTCACAATAGTTCAAGGAATAAGAAAATGGCCTGAGCTAAATGAAAAATAATGAGATTAACAATAACTATATATTAATAATAATAATAACATGTTGGGGCTAAACTATGGTAACTGGAATCGGGCTGGCCGAGATTAAAATGACCATATGGTCTAATGAAATATTGATAGCTCTATAAATTTGTAATCTTTTAGATTAATTTGTCATTTCAATAAATTGTCTATAATAATTAGACCATAACAAAATGGATGTGTAAGTTATTACCGACCATTATAGAAACTATTTACTGGAAGTAGTTAAATTACAAGGGGTGGCCAGAACTTATAAAGGGTGGAGGAGTATAACTATTGATGGAGTAATAGGACTAGGCCCAGAGCCTAATCGGCCCAAGCCCCGAACTTGGACCCGTGGATCCAAGTCCACAACCTGGAGCCTATCTACCAGTCCAGCGGGGAGCCTGTCAGTCCGCCCGACCTTCCAGCTGGGAAAAGTAACGGTCAAGCAATTAATGTGTTGTTTAATTATGTATTTAATTTCGTATTAATGTTGTAATTAATTAATTATTATTATCGATAGCGGTTACGATTTGTATACGTCTATAAAAGGCGGCTTGTAATTCAGATTGGGGAGCGAACTTCTACATGCTATTTCTGGCTCTGAAACTCCCTAGCTACTTTCCATTTTCGTAGTACTTTCTACTTTCCTGCTTGAGTGTTCTTACGTAGCTTTCCTAAAAGCCTACGAGCGTCCTATTTTGGACCAACATTGGTGCTTTCATCGAGAGCTTCTGTTATCTCTCACATCACTCTAGTAGGAATTACCAAAAAAAATTCAGAAAAATGGGAATGTTTGAAGGTTTCCATGAGTTTTTCAGAATTTCATATCTGTAACCCAGAATATGAATCTAGATATGAACTTTTTCAGATATGGAAAAAGCTAGCAACAATCTGATACGGAAGCATAGGGACCTTAGTTCGGCAATTGGCCACACAAGTAAAGTTTCTGGCGATATCTTCTGATTTGTTCGCCTTGGGAAACTGAACTTGGATATCCACCATTAATGGCCGCTGGCAAGGAGAGAACCTCAAACCCGACACCGACGCTCAAGATCAGAAGCTTCTAGGCATCGTTCGTAGGCCACCTACATCTCCATCTCAGCCCTGTTCGTCCGCACGCCTAGAGTTGTACTGACCAGACGAATTAACCTAAGTCTGGCACCCTCTCAGGCCGGCGAATCCAAGCCGGGAGTTCCCTTAGGCGGACGGTGCCCTGAGGTCGGCAGTTGAATCCCCAGATCCGGTGGTGTAGCTTGGCGACAAAACTCTTGGGCCGCTGATGTAAATCTGATGGTGCTCCGGGCGACGCGAGTCCTCTAGGCCGCACTAACGGCCGCCCTCCGATCGGGCACTCCAGTCAATGGCACAGGCCGGGCGGAGCTTCCCATGGCAGACGACCCATCCGATGGCAGTGGCGGTAGCCGGCTTCCTTTCTACTGCGACGGCGGCTGTTCTCTGCCTCTGTGACGGCCAAAGGACCTCCCTCCTGGAAGTCTCCGTCTGCGGTCTGCCAGAAGCTTAGCACAAGGTGTTAGGCAAGCTGTTCAACACCACAAACTTTGCTAGGTTGATTTTCGGGCCTGGAGTACTTAAGGGCCAAACCCATTTGAACTGGTTTTTCGTATGGACCAAGCTTCCATTCTTCCAAACAACAGAAAAGCTAAGTATACTGCTCAATTTTACATCATCATCGATCAAAACATTATAAAATGATTCAATAAAAAAATCACAAATTGAATCATTCCAAGAGTACTTTAAGTGATATAAATGCTTTCACTCTTGTCAAGCGTGTGTAATTTTAACATTGACCAACGGACTTATGAAATCTAATCACTCAAGTACGCCGGGCGAGCACACACACTCGTACATTGGCCGAGCACACACACTCGCGCCACCGGGTCACGTCATATGGGTGTGACGATTAATAAGCTCCAATGTAAATGCTAATACCTCACACTCTTGACTTCATACGAGTTCTTGCGTGCTCTTACCTCTTCCTAGTGCATCACACTCCGACCTCGGGGGACGAGTCACCCGTTCAAAAGTTTTTACTTGCGGGTTCGAACTACTAACCTTGGGCGGCGAGTTAAACTCTTGTTAGGGGCCTAGAGCCACGCTCTTCCGAGCAATTTTTTCACTTAATTGACATTCACATTTCCCGAAAAGGTCGATATACTTTAGTTCTGTGGGGTTGGATTATCCGTTCGAATGGTGACTCCGAGTCACTTACTTGCGAATTCAATCTTCCTTTCGGAGACTGGGTTGAGGCCTAACTTGGGAAATGATGTCACTCTTTTCAAGTAGTGAGTCCGACTCACTCACTCACTGAGTCGTGGTTCAACACCAGACCAAATGCTCTATTATACACTTGTTGCTTTTATGTGTAGGTACGACTGAACGAGGAGTAGCCTGATGAGTTCAAGCCCGACGAGAAGAATGGTTCTAGTCGTCCTCTTCACAGATGGCGAGCATTGCAATAAAGGTTAAGGATTTCACCTCTTCTTCATCTTGGGGGCGTCAGGTGTACTCTTTTTCCCTTCATTGGGATTTTTTCCCATTGGGTTTTTTCCTAATGAAGGTTTTTAATGAGGTATCTCCCCGACATGGACAAGGGCGGGGATCTTCCAGTCTCGAAGAAGAGCAACTGACTTGGACTACTCCCTCTTAGCCGAGTTTACTACTCGACTAAGGGAGTGGGGGACTCGTGATGGAGTAATAGGACTAGGCCCAGAGCCTAATCGGCCCAAGCCCCGAACTTGGACCCGTGGATCCAAGTCCACAACCTGGAGCCTATCTACCAGTCCAGCGGGGAGCCTGTCAGTCCGCCCGACCTTCCAGCTGGGAAAAGTAACGGTCAAGCAATTAATGTGTTGTTTAATTATGTATTTAATTTCGTATTAATGTTGTAATTAATTAATTATTATTATCGATAGCGGTTACGATTTGTATACGTCTATAAAAGGCGGCTTGTAATTCAGATTGGGGAGCGAACTTCTACATGCTATTTCTGGCTCTGAAACTCCCTAGCTACTTTCCATTTTCGTAGTACTTTCTACTTTCCTGCTTGAGTGTTCTTACGTAGCTTTCCTAAAAGCCTACGAGCGTCCTATTTTGGACCAACAACTATAAATTTGATAGATATTGATTTTAGAATTTTAATATTTTAGAAGGTGAATTTTGGTGAAGATCGAGGTTAAAGCTTCGGTTAGGAATTATCACAATTCGAGGTAAGTACTATGTCAACCAAATTTCATGCTTTTCCTATATAAATATATTTGTGACTAGTTATTTGAGATCATTTGAGTATATGATAGTTAATGAGATTTTACGTATCAATTGTGATTGTGAATTATATATATTTGAGATTTGAGTATTTTATATTGGGTGATATTTTGAGCATTTGAATTTACATATGAATTGTTATTTGATTGAGATCGATTTGAGATTTGAGCTACTTATGAAGTATCCTAAATTTTGGACTATTTATGGTATATTTGAGTATGATGAGTTGGAGTTAATAATTTTATTGTGAATAATTTTGTGGAATTCGGATTTTATATCCATTTTGATTGAGGTTATGATACTTGAACTTTGAGGATGAATTATGATTTTGTGAGTACCCGGAGAAATGTGGATTTGGTGAGTGGTAATGACTATAAGTCTAATTCCACCAGGGATCTCCCAAAAGCGGAGCATCCCAGCTTAATTGTAGTAGTCGGTAGAAAAATCCCGACTACTCGGACTTTTTACTACCCGGAGAGCTTGGAATCTCTTTTAGGGGGTGTGCACACTTAAGGTAGGAGTTCGGCTTCCATTGAAGTTGGTTGAGTTTGAATGATTGAACTTGAGATGATTTGGATTATTTGGTTGGACTTGATAGAGATGAATTGAACTACATTATATTGGATTATTTGAGTGGGTTATATTTGTTTGGATTGGATTGAATTTGATGTGGTTGAGATTATTAAATTATCGGTAGATTTTCAAAGTAATACTTATTTGATTTGATATGGTTATGTTGAATATTGATTATGAGTATTTGGAAGTATTTTGAGATGAATATTTGGGCTTTACATATGATTTATGTTTTGGAATATAATTACGAGGATTTTGGTGGTTTATGTATATTGACCTTTTAGAATTATTATGATTTGGAAATATGTACATATATTTGGAATATTATTACTTTACATGTGATTTTGTGATGAGAAGTTTGTATAAAATGTTTTATGAGGTTTCCTCCCAAATGTTTTCACAAAATGATATATATGTATCAAACATGATTATTTTACAGGGTTGGGTGGGCCTTACTTAGCATTTCCAGCTAATTTTTGTTTCTTTGTGTTTTTCTTTCTGTACTTTATTTGTGCAGGAATTGAGGATCATATTGAAGTTGATTTCGAGAGCTTCCACTAGAATACATAGACTAAAGTGATTGAGTAATTTATTTTAGTCTCAATTTTAAAGAATTGTAGTTGAATAGTTAATTAGGGAAAATTTTATTTTGTTGGTGGTGGATAGCCTGTGCACTCGGTTATGTGAGAACCGAGTGTGGCGGTAACGCCCCTGTTTCCCTTTGAATTTTCCGCTGCAACACTCTGATGTTTTCGAATAAATCATTATTTACTTTCAATAAATCATTATTCAAATGTATTTTTGGGTGGGAAATTTGGGGGTGTTACAAGTTGGTATCAGAGCCTTTCATTTTTTAAATGGGGGTTTTCAAACATTTTCTAAGATTTTCCTTTTCCTCAAGTGATACCAACAAATTGGTATGACTTACTGTTTTCGAAAGTGTATTTTTGAATAAAAGTTTTCATTCACTAACTTCGGTTTTCAAAAAAAAAAAAAAGGAGTCCATAACATTTTATAAGATTTTCTAAAACTCTTTAAGAGATACCAACAAATTGGTATGAAAGCCTATGATTTTCAAACTTCGAATTTTCAAATAAAACTTTCTTTATGTAACTATGATCTTCAAAAAGGCTTTACTTTTTAAAAGCGATTGAAATTTTCCCAAAAAGTTTTCTTAATGTTTTTCCTAAAAAAAAAAAAATATATCGGTCTTCTAAATGTTCTTCAACAGAAAGAAATTTAGGGATAATAAGTCGTATTAAGAAAGAATAAGCAAAAAAAAAAAAGTCTAGGGTACGGGTGAGAATGTGAGATTTTGAATTTCTACTTTGATGGAGTTTGTGGTTATTTGAATTATTTGAGTTATACTTATATGAGGTATATATTTATGGACTCATTTGAGAATGAGTTTGGACTTTTAGAGGAACTTACCAAATTAAGTGAGTAGTAAGTTACTTCGTATTAGTTAATTAAGGTAGTATAAATGTAAATGTCATTGACATACTTTGTGTCTGAAACATTATTTCAAGTAGACAATGAAGTCAACGAGAACCAAAGTAGAAGACAATATCGCTGCACCGACGAATGCGGAATTGGCTCAAAATATGGTTCAACTCATCCAGACTATCGGGAGTGTGTTAGTTCAGAACCAACACCAACAACATCTCAAAAACCGCAATGATGTAGCGAAACTTATAGCGAAGCGCAATCCACCGTGTTATTTAGGCCAAGAAGATCCTCTCATCCTTGAGGATTGGATTCGCACTTTTGACAAACTTTTCGACGCTATAAACTGCCCTGCAGATCAACGAATTAATACGGCTGCGTACTATCTACGTCAAGAAGCAGACAATTGGTGGGCCACGACTGCCCCAACGTTGCGTCAACAACCTGACTTTTCTTGGGAGACGTTCAAGGAGGCAATGCGAAAAAGATTCTACCCCGAGCACGTGAGAGCTGAGAAGTATGAAGAATTTTTACACCTGAAGCAAATAGGCATGACTGTCCAAGAGTATCACGCTAAATTCTTGAATCTCGCACGATTTGCAACCACGCTAGTCCCCAATGAAATCGAGAAAACTAACAAGTTTATACGTGGTCTAAACTTCGAGACACAAAAAGCTCTTTGTGTTTCAGAATGCCAAACGTTGAACGATGCCTACAACAAAGCTGGCAAACACTATCGAGTGCAACAACTCCAGAAGAAAACACTCAAGAGAGCGAGGAAGGGGGCTGAAGGAGAAAGTAAACAAGGAGGCAAACAACGTGAGCTAAATCAGCTAGGGCAGACCCGAAACGAGAACAAGATCAACAACCAAGGCCAAGGCCAGAAGCGTAAGAAGAAGAACTCAACTGAAGAGATGCACTTCCACTGCTCGAAGTGTAGAAAAGATCACCCTGGGACATACTGTGATGGAACGCTCGTACGATGTTTTCATTGTGACAAGCTAGGGCATAGGGTGTTCGAGTGTTATTCAAGGAAGAAGGGAATCCCTCCAACTCGTGGACCCAATCGTCATCCAAAACGCAATGGAAGAACCTTAGAATAGTAGGCGAAAACATATCAATTCCTAATTTTCATAATTAGTAAAAATGTTTGAGAATTATGTATCGTTTGATCTTTGATGAATAAATTATTTTCTTGAATAAAAAAAAAAAGAATTATTTTCTTGAATAAGTTAAATGCTTCGAGACGAAGCATTCTTTTAAGGAGGGTAGAATGTGACACTCTTAAAATTTAATAAAAATGATTGAACATAAACTAACATGTGATAACTATTAATTGTATTTGTGGATTATTTTCTTAGATTATGCTTCGGGACGAAGCATCTTTTAAGGAGGGTAGAATGTGACACCCCGAAAATTTTAAAACATATATATATAAATTATATCAGTCGGATAAAATGTTACGAAAGTGACATTTAATAATTAAGTGAATGAGATAAAATTCTACCATCAGTGACATTTTTAATAAGATAAAAATGTTTCATTTTATAATAATTATGTTGACCAGAAAAGACCTTGACTTTAATAACAAAAGTAACATTTTTGTAATAGGTAATGATTATACAAATGATATAAAGAATAAAAGTGCATATTGACGATCTTAATTCAAAAATACGGGGTTCTAATATATGTACCAAAGTACACATAAATACAACACAAAAATATCAATACTAAAAGAGTTGTAATAAGACATGGAGTAAGGTACTTCGTACAAGGCACACATATTCACGTGGAGTGACAAGCACAAATGCGGGAATCGTCCAACCAATCTGGCAATTTGATAAGGGAAGGTCAGTGTGTACTTAGCAGTACAGATGCACATGTATTTGCAGTGCTCTGTGACCCGGGAAGGTGTGAATATATTTGCAGGTCCATGTTTATTATTATCATATATACTACTCCGTATCATTTTATTTTGACACCCACATGGGAATGTCATGTACGTACATGCATCTCTCACCAGCTAGGTAAAGCACTACAACCACAAAAATTTCCTAGTGTCATAATTTTACTCTAGCAGACGTGGAACCTTCCTACTGCTTATATAATTATATATAGGACTATTACGTCGATCTGCGTTTACATATACAAACTAAGGCCATCGACATATAAATATACGTCTGAAGGATATATATTCACGTTCTGCAACTAAACAAAAGAAAGTGAGAAAGAGAGAAACGATCGTCAAAAGAGGGAGGAAAAAGCTGGCCGGAGTTCGCCGGAGAATAAGCTTTGAACGTGCCGCCATTATAACGGGAGGAGCTGCTGCACCAGGGAACTAACTGCCAGACCAAACTACTATCTGAGCATCCCTCTCGACGTCGCCGGGGAAGAGGACACACCGGTGGGTCGCTGCCGACCAGACCGTTCCCACGACGGAGAACGAGTCACCGGAGGTACCGCCTATTGTACGCAAATCATATTACTCCGTATTAATTTTGACAGGCTGAAATTTTATTAATCGGGGCTGAAAGTAATTAACTTAAATGAGCCGAACTGTTTGATTAAGGAATGAAGGAGAAATTAGAAGGTTTAGGATGGGCTGTTTGTGTTACTGTTCAACCCTCACAATAGTTCAAGGAATAAGAAAATGGCCTGAGCTAAATGAAAAATAATGAGATTAACAATAACTATATATTAATAATAATAATAACATGTTGGGGCTAAACTATGGTAACTGGAATCGGGCTGGCCGAGATTAAAATGACCATATGGTCTAATGAAATATTGATAGCTCTATAAATTTGTAATCTTTTAGATTAATTTGTCATTTCAATAAATTGTCTATAATAATTAGACCATAACAAAATGGATGTGTAAGTTATTACCGACCATTATAGAAACTATTTACTGGAAGTAGTTAAATTACAAGGGGTGGCCAGAACTTATAAAGGGTGGAGGAGTATAACTATAAATTTGATAGATATTGATTTTAGAATTTTAATATTTTAGAAGGTGAATTTTGGTGAAGATCGAGGTTAAAGCTTCGGTTAGGAATTATCACAATTCGAGGTAAGTACTATGTCAACCAAATTTCATGCTTTTCCTATATAAATATATTTGTGACTAGTTATTTGAGATCATTTGAGTATATGATAGTTAATGAGATTTTACGTATCAATTGTGATTGTGAATTATATATATTTGAGATTTGAGTATTTTATATTGGGTGATATTTTGAGCATTTGAATTTACATATGAATTGTTATTTGATTGAGATCGATTTGAGATTTGAGCTACTTATGAAGTATCCTAAATTTTGGACTATTTATGGTATATTTGAGTATGATGAGTTGGAGTTGATAATTTTATTGTGAATAATTTTGTGGAATTCGGATTTTATATCCATTTTGATTGAGGTTATGATACTTGAACTTTGAGGATGAATTATGATTTTGTGAGTACCCGGAGAAATGTGGATTTGGTGAGTGGTAATGACTATAAGTCTAATTCCACCAGGGATCTCCCAAAAGCGGAGCATCCCAGCTTAATTGTAGTAGTCGGTAGAAAAATCCCGACTACTCGGACTTTTTACTACCCGGAGAGCTTGGAATCTCTTTTAGGGGGTGTGCACACTTAAGGTAGGAGTTCGGCTTCCATTGAAGTTGGTTGAGTTTGAATGATTGAACTTGAGATGATTTGGATTATTTGGTTGGACTTGATGGAGATGAATTGAACTACATTATATTGGATTATTTGAGTGGGTTATATTTGTTTGGATTGGATTGAATTTGATGTGGTTGAGATTATTAAATTATCGGTAGATTTTCAAAGTAATACTTATTTGATTTGATATGGTTATGTTGAATATTGATTATGAGTATTTGGAAGTATTTTGAGATGAATATTTGGGCTTTACATATGATTTATGTTTTGGAATATAATTACGAGGATTTTGGTGGTTTATGTATATTGACCTTTTAGAATTATTATGATTTGGAAATATGTACATATATTTGGAATATTATTACTTTACATGTGATTTTGTGATGAGAAGTTTGTATAAAATGTTTTATGAGGTTTCCTCCCAAATGTTTTCACAAAATGATATATATGTATCAAACATGATTATTTTACAGGGTTGGGTGGGCCTTACTTAGCATTTCCAGCTAATTTTTGTTTCTTTGTGTTTTTCTTTCTGTACTTTATTTGTGCAGGAATTGAGGATCATATTGAAGTTGATTTCGAGAGCTTCCACTAGAATACATAGACTAAAGTGATTGAGTAATTTATTTTAGTCTCAATTTTAAAGAATTGTAGTTGAATAGTTAATTAGGGAAAATTTTATTTTGTTGGTGGTGGATAGCCTGTGCACTCGGTTATGTGAGAACCGAGTGTGGCGGTAACGCCCCTGTTTCCCTTTGAATTTTCCGCTGCAACACTCTGATGTTTTCGAATAAATCATTATTTACTTTCAATAAATCATTATTCAAATGTATTTTTGGGTGGGAAATTTGGGGGTGTTACAAGTTGGTATCAGAGCCTTTCATTTTTTAAATGGGGGTTTTCAAACATTTTCTAAGATTTTCCTTTTCCTCAAGTGATACCAACAAATTGGTATGACTTACTGTTTTCGAAAGTGTATTTTTGAATAAAAGTTTTCATTCACTAACTTCGGTTTTCAAAAAAAAAAAAAAAGGAGTCCATAACATTTTATAAGATTTTCTAAAACTCTTTAAGAGATACCAACAAATTGGTATGAAAGCCTATGATTTTCAAACTTCGAATTTTCAAATAAAACTTTCTTTATGTAACTATGATCTTCAAAAAGGCTTTACTTTTTAAAAGCGATTGAAATTTTCCCAAAAAGTTTTCTTAATGTTTTTCCTAAAAAAAAAAAAATATATCGGTCTTCTAAATGTTCTTCAACAGAAAGAAATTTAGGGATAATAAGTCGTATTAAGAAAGAATAAGCAAAAAAAAAAAAGTCTAGGGTACGGGTGAGAATGTGAGATTTTGAATTTCTACTTTGATGGAGTTTGTGGTTATTTGAATTATTTGAGTTATACTTATATGAGGTATATATTTATGGACTCATTTGAGAATGAGTTTGGACTTTTAGAGGAACTTACCAAATTAAGTGAGTAGTAAGTTACTTCGTATTAGTTAATTAAGGTAGTATAAATGTAAATGTCATTGACATACTTTGTGTCTGAAACATTATTTCAAGTAGACAATGAAGTCAACGAGAACCAAAGTAGAAGACAATATCGCTGCACCGACGAATGCGGAATTGGCTCAAAATATGGTTCAACTCATCCAGACTATCGGGAGTGTGTTAGTTCAGAACCAACACCAACAACATCTCAAAAACCGCAATGATGTAGCGAAACTTATAGCGAAGCGCAATCCACCGTGTTATTTAGGCCAAGAAGATCCTCTCATCCTTGAGGATTGGATTCGCACTTTTGACAAACTTTTCGACGCTATAAACTGCCCTGCAGATCAACGAATTAATACGGCTGCGTACTATCTACGTCAAGAAGCAGACAATTGGTGGGCCACGACTGCCCCAACGTTGCGTCAACAACCTGACTTTTCTTGGGAGACGTTCAAGGAGGCAATGCGAAAAAGATTCTACCCCGAGCACGTGAGAGCTGAGAAGTATGAAGAATTTTTACACCTGAAGCAAATAGGCATGACTGTCCAAGAGTATCACGCTAAATTCTTGAATCTCGCACGATTTGCAACCACGCTAGTCCCCAATGAAATCGAGAAAACTAACAAGTTTATACGTGGTCTAAACTTCGAGACACAAAAAGCTCTTTGTGTTTCAGAATGCCAAACGTTGAACGATGCCTACAACAAAGCTGGCAAACACTATCGAGTGCAACAACTCCAGAAGAAAACACTCAAGAGAGCGAGGAAGGGGGCTGAAGGAGAAAGTAAACAAGGAGGCAAACAACGTGAGCTAAATCAGCTAGGGCAGACCCGAAACGAGAACAAGATCAACAACCAAGGCCAAGGCCAGAAGCGTAAGAAGAAGAACTCAACTGAAGAGATGCACTTCCACTGCTCGAAGTGTAGAAAAGATCACCCTGGGACATACTGTGATGGAACGCTCGTACGATGTTTTCATTGTGACAAGCTAGGGCATAGGGTGTTCGAGTGTTATTCAAGGAAGAAGGGAATCCCTCCAACTCGTGGACCCAATCGTCATCCAAAACGCAATGGAAGAACCTTAGAATAGTAGGCGAAAACATATCAATTCCTAATTTTCATAATTAGTAAAAATGTTTGAGAATTATGTATCGTTTGATCTTTGATGAATAAATTATTTTCTTGAATAAAAAAAAAAAGAATTATTTTCTTGAATAAGTTAAATGCTTCGAGACGAAGCATTCTTTTAAGGAGGGTAGAATGTGACACTCTTAAAATTTAATAAAAATGATTGAACATAAACTAACATGTGATAACTATTAATTGTATTTGTGGATTATTTTCTTAGATTATGCTTCGGGACGAAGCATCTTTTAAGGAGGGTAGAATGTGACACCCCGAAAATTTTAAAACATATATATATAAATTATATCAGTCGGATAAAATGTTACGAAAGTGACATTTAATAATTAAGTGAATGAGATAAAATTCTACCATCAGTGACATTTTTAATAAGATAAAAATGTTTCATTTTATAATAATTATGTTGACCAGAAAAGACCTTGACTTTAATAACAAAAGTAACATTTTTGTAATAGGTAATGATTATACAAATGATATAAAGAATAAAAGTGCATATTGACGATCTTAATTCAAAAATACGGGGTTCTAATATATGTACCAAAGTACACATAAATACAACACAAAAATATCAATACTAAAAGAGTTGTAATAAGACATGGAGTAAGGTACTTCGTACAAGGCACACATATTCACGTGGAGTGACAAGCACAAATGCGGGAATCGTCCAACCAATCTGGCAATTTGATAAGGGAAGGTCAGTGTGTACTTAGCAGTACAGATGCACATGTATTTGCAGTGCTCTGTGACCCGGGAAGGTGTGAATATATTTGCAGGTCCATGTTTATTATTATCATATATACTACTCCGTATCATTTTATTTTGACACCCACATGGGAATGTCATGTACGTACATGCATCTCTCACCAGCTAGGTAAAGCACTACAACCACAAAAATTTCCTAGTGTCATAATTTTACTCTAGCAGACGTGGAACCTTCCTACTGCTTATATAATTATATATAGGACTATTACGTCGATCTGCGTTTACATATACAAACTAAGGCCATCGACATATAAATATACGTCTGAAGGATATATATTCACGTTCTGCAACTAAACAAAAGAAAGTGAGAAAGAGAGAAACGATCGTCAAAAGAGGGAGGAAAAAGCTGGCCGGAGTTCGCCGGAGAATAAGCTTTGAACGTGCCGCCATTATAACGGGAGGAGCTGCTGCACCAGGGAACTAACTGCCAGACCAAACTACTATCTGAGCATCCCTCTCGACGTCGCCGGGGAAGAGGACACACCGGTGGGTCGCTGCCGACCAGACCGTTCCCACGACGGAGAACGAGTCACCGGAGGTACCGCCTATTGTACGCAAATCATATTACTCCGTATTAATTTTGACAGGCTGAAATTTTATTAATCGGGGCTGAAAGTAATTAACTTAAATGAGCCGAACTGTTTGATTAAGGAATGAAGGAGAAATTAGAAGGTTTAGGATGGGCTGTTTGTGTTACTGTTCAACCCTCACAATAGTTCAAGGAATAAGAAAATGGCCTGAGCTAAATGAAAAATAATGAGATTAACAATAACTATATATTAATAATAATAATAACATGTTGGGGCTAAACTATGGTAACTGGAATCGGGCTGGCCGAGATTAAAATGACCATATGGTCTAATGAAATATTGATAGCTCTATAAATTTGTAATCTTTTAGATTAATTTGTCATTTCAATAAATTGTCTATAATAATTAGACCATAACAAAATGGATGTGTAAGTTATTACCGACCATTATAGAAACTATTTACTGGAAGTAGTTAAATTACAAGGGGTGGCCAGAACTTATAAAGGGTGGAGGAGTATAACTATAAATTTGATAGATATTGATTTTAGAATTTTAATATTTTAGAAGGTGAATTTTGGTGAAGATCGAGGTTAAAGCTTCGGTTAGGAATTATCACAATTCGAGGTAAGTACTATGTCAACCAAATTTCATGCTTTTCCTATATAAATATATTTGTGACTAGTTATTTGAGATCATTTGAGTATATGATAGTTAATGAGATTTTACGTATCAATTGTGATTGTGAATTATATATATTTGAGATTTGAGTATTTTATATTGGGTGATATTTTGAGCATTTGAATTTACATATGAATTGTTATTTGATTGAGATCGATTTGAGATTTGAGCTACTTATGAAGTATCCTAAATTTTGGACTATTTATGGTATATTTGAGTATGATGAGTTGGAGTTGATAATTTTATTGTGAATAATTTTGTGGAATTCGGATTTTATATCCATTTTGATTGAGGTTATGATACTTGAACTTTGAGGATGAATTATGATTTTGTGAGTACCCGGAGAAATGTGGATTTGGTGAGTGGTAATGACTATAAGTCTAATTCCACCAGGGATCTCCCAAAAGCGGAGCATCCCAGCTTAATTGTAGTAGTCGGTAGAAAAATCCCGACTACTCGGACTTTTTACTACCCGGAGAGCTTGGAATCTCTTTTAGGGGGTGTGCACACTTAAGGTAGGAGTTCGGCTTCCATTGAAGTTGGTTGAGTTTGAATGATTGAACTTGTGATGATTTGGATTATTTGGTTGGACTTGATGGAGATGAATTGAACTACATTATATTGGATTATTTGAGTGGGTTATATTTGTTTGGATTGGATTGAATTTGATGTGGTTGAGATTATTAAATTATCGGTAGATTTTCAAAGTAATACTTATTTGATTTGATATGGTTATGTTGAATATTGATTATGAGTATTTGGAAGTATTTTGAGATGAATATTTGGGCTTTACATATGATTTATGTTTTGGAATATAATTACGAGGATTTTGGTGGTTTATGTATATTGACCTTTTAGAATTATTATGATTTGGAAATATGTACATATATTTGGAATATTATTACTTTACATGTGATTTTGTGATGAGAAGTTTGTATAAAATGTTTTATGAGGTTTCCTCCCAAATGTTTTCACAAAATGATATATATGTATCAAACATGATTATTTTACAGGGTTGGGTGGGCCTTACTTAGCATTTCCAGCTAATTTTTGTTTCTTTGTGTTTTTCTTTCTGTACTTTATTTGTGCAGGAATTGAGGATCATATTGAAGTTGATTTCGAGAGCTTCCACTAGAATACATAGACTAAAGTGATTGAGTAATTTATTTTAGTCTCAATTTTAAAGAATTGTAGTTGAATAGTTAATTAGGGAAAATTTTATTTTGTTGGTGGTGGATAGCCTGTGCACTCGGTTATGTGAGAACCGAGTGTGGCGGTAACGCCCCTGTTTCCCTTTGAATTTTCCGCTGCAACACTCTGATGTTTTCGAATAAATCATTATTTACCTTCAATAAATCATTATTCAAATGTATTTTTGGGTGGGAAATTTGGGGGTGTTACAGTTTGTTACGTATTGTGTGATTTTGCATTTGTCTTGCACCTGAAGCATGAATGTTATACGTTATTGCAGATACACAATGTCACATAATGGCAGTGGTGATGATCTTTCAGACTCTGCAAGTGATGAAGATGATGAGTTCGGGGCCCTACTGTTAATGGCTACATGTGTTTTAGTTGATGTCGAAAGAATTCCATGTCGAACGTCTATACTCACAGGTAACGCTTATATCGATGAGTTAATGACAGGTCATCCACTAAAATGCTATGAAAATTTTAGGATGAACCCACCCGTATTCCTGCGTTTATGCAATTATGTGAAAGGCTTAAGAATTTGGATGTTCTACACGATTCAAGGTATTTAAGGGCTAAAGAGCAATTAGGAATAGGTCTTTTAGTGTTATGTACAGGGGCGGGGGAACGTACATGTGCAGAGCGTTTTCAGCATTCAATGCGAATTGTTCACTTGTGTGTGAAGCGTGTGGTGAGAGCACTTGCACGATTGGGCAATGAAGTTATAAAGCCGGTTAATGGGGGCCCTGTTCAACCAGAAATGTTAGAAAAACCGAAATGGTATCCTTATTTTGAGGTATGTGTAAGTTTAATTTAAATAACTCATACTAATAACGGTGTACAAATTTTGTAGAAATGTGTAGGTGCCATTGATGGTACTCATGTAGCAGCCTCAGCACCCGCTTCCAAACAAAAGACGTTTCGCGGTAGACATTCAACGGTCACTCAAAATGTCATGGCAGCTTGTAGTCATGACATGTTGTTTACGTACGTATACGCGGGTTGGGAGGGAACGTGCAATGACTCTCGAGTATTTTTAGATGCAATTACAAGAAGCGAAAACGGGTTGCCCATGCCTCCTATCGGTAATACAATAATTATGCAATTTGTGTTAATAAAGTCACTATTTTACGAAAATGGGTTCCCATTGTAGTTGTTATTGACTTCATTATAGGTTATTACTATGTGGTTGATGCTGGCTATCCAAATGTTCCGGGGTTTTTAGCCCCATACCGTGGAGAGAGTTATCACTTAAAGGATTTTCGAGGCAGAGGACGAATCCGCAATAAGCAAGCTTTATTTAACTACCGACACTCGTCCTTGCGTAATGTCATCGAGAGGTGTTTCGGAGTACTGAAGGAAAGATTTCCCATTCTAGACATGTCACGTGGTTACCCAGTGAGAAGACAAGTTCAAATTCTCATAGCTTGTTGCGCATTGCATAACTTCATTCGCATGCAAGACAGAAACGATGATTTGTTTTTGGAGTACGAGGAAGATGATATTATATTTAACACGGAGGCAAGTACAAGTGAAAATGGATCACTTGAATTTGATATGTCTCAACAGCAACAAATGCACGAAATTCGAGAAAGTATTGCAAATGCAATATGGGATGATTATAATGTTTGAGATGTCCACGTACAACTTGTTCTGATTAACATGTCACTTATTGAACTTTCAATGTTGGGGAACCTTTATGTTATTTTTTGTTGTGTTATTTCAAATGTTTGTGAATGTGCATTTCTTTTTCCAAATATTAAGTCAACGTTGTTTGCTAAAAACGAAATGAAAAACTGAAAACCATAGGTAAACATGTTTTCTGATTTGGAAAACAAAAAATTGGAAAATGAAAACAGAAAACTGAAGGCTTGAAAACAGAAAATGAAAACAGAAAAATATTTCCGTCAGTAAACGGGCCCTAACTTTTCTTTCTTGTGAGGTGCATAAACTGTAGGATCATATATTTTACCATGCGGGAGATATTTTGCTCCTCAAAATACAGTATTACCGTCTTGTGAAAATCACAAAAGCAAGCTGAGGAATAGAGGTGCCCTAAGTAGAAATCTACCACCAACATGACCCAGCCCTTAAACTTTGTTTATGGAGAGTTACTATGGTAGTTTTTCTGGCTAAAATGACATTTACTTGGGAATGGAGGGAGTATGTCGTTAACCTCATGACTTTTATTGAAACAAATATTCTTCAACATAGAATCAACAGGACACCCAGAAACAGACTACTAATTCTACTAAAGGGGAACATCAGCTACACACTACTACCTCATGACCTCAGAGGGAGTGAGGGGCTAAATACATGTTGTTATGAGTAGTAAAGAATGGCATGAATATCACTTTTTTAGCTTGCAAATAAATTGAGACAGACTGAATGCACGAGGGAATCAAATAGAGTTGACTGATGTTCTCTCAGGATCAAAGTGGTGTAAAATGTAATCTCTCCACATCATTTTTTTTTATACATCGGAAATGAATCTCTCTACATCATAGTCATGAGAAACATAGGAAATATTGTTTTACTTGATACGTAGTAATAGTCAATTGTACCATGCTGATTTTCGAGAAAATAAATTCTTCCACTTAATCCTGATATCACTGCCACCCTTAAAAACTAAGAACATAAAAAACCTAGATTCACATGCATGGAGCAAAAAACTCGTGGAATGTGTATTCTAAATGAATATTGAACCCAATAAAACCATAAAAGAGCATTTACCACTGGAATATGAGGAAAAGTGGAGAAGCCATCAGGCAGTTCAATTTTATCAAGGTGGTGAGCAGTCCATGACCCGCCCAAGTTGGTGCTCAATTCTTCATCCTCTGCTGGGTCCTATGCATCATCTGAATGTCCAAAAAGCATAACAGAATGACCAGATTTTTCTGTACTTTCCCCAAATTAAAATCCTTTATGATCTATCACATGTTTTGCTTGTATCCGTTCTCTTTTCACACAAAAACGTGTTACTTGGAGTGATACAAGTCAGAATATTTTGAGAATTAAAGAAAGCCAAATTTGTCACAGTTCTTCTCAGAAAAATCTTAATATCAAATTCAAAAACCCAGTAAAAAGAAAACAGCAACCTTTTGCCAAAAAGAAAATATAAAACCACAACCTTATCCATTTTACAGTGACCAGAACAGATTCAGTTCCTAAACTGATCCCAATAAATTAAAAATATAATAGAAACACAATGTTTCTTCAGATAAGAAACAAAGCAGATATAAAAATGCAAGGCGAATGAAAAAGGGCAGTGCAAATGGACTTTAGTTTTAGTTATCTTATCTACTCATCCAAACAACACTATATCCAGACATGGTTTGTTTTGTTTTCAATATCTGCATACCTCTTAGGAAGTATCAAACGTTGAAATTTCAAACGTTGAATGTCTTTAATTTGTATTTATATCTGCATACACTATATCCAGAAATGGACTTTAATTTGTATTGTAATTTCAAACGTTGAATGTCTTTTTGGCACAAACTCAATCGTGATTTGTAAGAAATTTTTTAAAGACTAGGAACCGTTAAATGACAAGAACCGAACCTTTAAGAATGGTTCGGTGCCTTATCGGTTCTATAAAATAATTTATAAGAACCGAACCGTTACTAAAATTTCATATTTTCAAACGGTTCCACAAAGTTTGCCTAGGAACCGAACCGGTCCCAGGCCTACACCATGCATCTTAGTTTTGGCTATTTCGGAGTGAGAAGCATGGAGGTTATGACATTAACACTGTTAAATCATGCAAATCCTGAATCATCATCATATAAAGTATAAATCTCACCTCAACTTAAAACTAAAGCTTACCTAATATTTGAGGTGATTCATAGCTCACATTAACCCACATGAAACCACCGGTAAGTAAACTACCACAATAAGCAATGGCATAATTTGTAGTATTGGGGGTCTGAATTTGTGTGGCCCCTATTTAAATAAACTACCATAATAAACTGTGAGGTAATTGGAATTGAAGCCACCTGAGAACAAGTTGTATGCTCTTGTCCAACTTGTTCACTTGTGATCTTGAACAGTTGCTCAATCAAAAACCATTTTTTAAAATGGTTTTAATGTATTTATCTTCACTTCTTCAAAAACAAAAGATCTTAATATTTTTTTTACTGGTTTTGTTTCCGTTAATGGTGATTTAGAGGCAATTGCAATAAGTTGGGATGAAGCTGCACCCATTCTTTGAGTTCATCAACACATTCCAAGCTCCTTACAGCAGCGGCTTTGGTAGGAAAGTAAGTCTTTTCAACCTTCTTCTTTAATATTTTCAAAAACGTGTTACTTAGAGTGATACAAGTCAGAATATTTTGAGATTTAAAGTAAGCCAAATTTGTCACAGTTCTTCTCAGAAACATCTTAATATCAAATTCAAAAACCTAGTAAAAAGAAAACAACAACCTTATCCATTATACAGTGACCAGAACAAATTCAGTTCCTTAACTGAGCACAAATAAATAAATTAAAAAATAATAAAACACAATATTTCTTCAGATAAGAAACAAAGTAGATGTAAAAATGCAAGGCGAATGAAAAAGAGGAGTGGAAATGGACTATAGTTTTAGTTTTCTACTCATCCAAACAACACTTTCTATATCCAGACATGGCTTGTTTTGTTTTTAAAAAGTGCATACCTCTGAGAAAGTATCAATAAACTAAGTAGCAATGGTCATCAGTGGCCAGCAGTTAGAGCAAACATGAGCATTTTGAAGCAATGCTTAAAATGATCATTGCTGAATGGACACTAATTTCTTAATTAATTTCACATCCTTTTATATTACTTCATTAAGCATCTCAAAACACTATTTTTTTAAATATTTCTCATTCAACATGGTATGAAATAAGTATTTGTAAATTTTAAAAAATGAGCTTTTTGAAGCAATTCTTTTAAAAATCAAATATTGGGTACCATCCCAAACATATATAGAAAGTGTCTCGTTCAGTATCAACTGGTTTTGAAGCCCGTGCGATGCACGAGCAGTATATAATGTAGCTAATTGTAAATTTGATATTTTCAAAACCATATATAATTTAATGTGATGCAAAAGGAAAATAAACTCAGTCTAATATAAAGTCGTTTGATAATACTAAAATTGGTCGAATTATCTGACTCTATTGTAATGAATTAAATCTAACTGATTGGGCTAAATTGACGGAATCTCCCAAATTATGAAAAGGTAAAATAAAATATACTGCGTATTACATATATAATTAATAAAATAAATTAAAATTTATATGAAAAATATTAAAATGGACTTCTATATACTCCGTAGTTGATCAATAAAATTTATATGAAAATATATATATAAACATATATATTTATATGTATGATATGAATCCATCCTAATAAAGGTAAGCTACTTGATCATATATATACTCCGTAGTTGATCAATAAAGTTTCAAGTGTTTTCATATATGAACGTCTAATAATATATATCAATTTCATTTTTAAGTTAAAGTATTGACTGAAGTTATTGCAGATGACCATTTTAACTATTTTTTCATTAATATTTTTTTATTTTATTTAAAAATATATTATAATTTTTTTTTCCATAAATCAGCATAATCAGCCAACACAGTCACTTCAGCCAGAACTTCATAAATAATTGATATAAAATATAGTCTATGTGTACGGATGACTATTTATTGTTGCGGTTCCAATTGTTTAATTTAATAACTATCCAAATCATGATTTATTAATATATAGTATATAGATGCTTGATGGGGAGCTTATTGTACTTAACTGCATCAAGGCTTGATCTTGTGTTCTCAGTCACCCTACTCTCTAGGTTCATGCATTCTCCAAGTGAGCAACACTTCAAAGCAGCAAAAAGGATTCTGAGGTATGTGCAAGGCACTGCTGATTATGGAGTGTTTTATGGCAAGAATCCAGTTAATCTTATGGGATTCACTGATAGTGATCTTGTTGGCTCTGATGAAGCAAGCAGAAGCGTGTTTGGTTACTGTTTCTCTCTTGGTTCAGACATGATCAGTTGGAAGTCAAAGAAGCAATCTGTCATTGCTCAATCAACTGCTGAAGCTGAATACATTGCAGCTTCCAAAGGAGGAAATCAGCAGTTTGGCTAAGAAAATTTCTCGCTTATTTGAAGTTGGAGCAAAAGAATGCAACTGTGATGTTCTGTGACAGCAAAGCCGCCATTGCCATCATCAAAAATCCAGTGCTTCATGATAGAACGAAGCATTTCAAAATCAAGTTGCACTCAGTAAGGCAGTTGCAAAACGAAGGTGAAATTGATCTACAATTTTGCTCATCTTAAGAGCAAATTGCTGATATACTCACCAAGATTCTGCCAAAACACAGGTTTGATGTTCTGTGTGAAAAACTTGGAATGCAAAGACTTAGCTCCATGGGGGAGTGTTGAAGTCGGTGATCTTTTGAGTTTTGACTCAAAAGAATGGAGCAAAAGTCTATCCAAATGCCTATGTTAAGATATTTTATTAGGGTCCTACTTATCTTTTTTTATCTTATAATCTAGCCACTAGGTAGAAAGAGTGTAAGACTTTGTACCCACTTGCCCACTTGCTTAGTAAGTGGATGTTTGTTTCCCAGTTGTTGATTGTCAAAACTTGCAAGACCCAGAGTCTCTATACATGCTGCAGGATGATGAAATAAAAATCCAGCAAGCTATTATCAAAAGCTTTCCTCTTTCT